TGTCAACAAAGGTGATCAAAGAAATTAGTTTATCACTAAGGGAAATAGAGGTTCAGATCTTTTTTTTAAGTGAAGGACATGAAACGTGTTATATATTAATTGGGAATGATTTGCTAAACAGAAATACCATCTTTCTTTAATCCTAAGATATGGGTTTTATCACACTAATAATGCTGATATGGGGGCATGTTTTATAATCCATTAATTGAAGCCTAAATGATTTGCATTAGCTTCTACAAGTTACCTTGAGGCAATATTCACTAAAACCCTCTTTAGGTTAAATTTTCCACCGCAGGTCTCTGCGTCTCATGGGCAGCATGGATTTGGACAAGTCACTTGCGTAAGGACTGGCTTGCATTCAGTTCTGGGGTTACTTTTTTATTGTTTTGTTTGTCCTCCTTGAGACATTCCGGGTAAAGGCTGAGACTGGCTGACTCCACTGTGTCCCTTTCCTCCTCATGCACTTTAGTCCTTATAAATCCTTACACTGAGGATGAAAGCCTTTCGTGGCTCAGAATTTGGGGAGTTTCTGATTAGATTTCCTGTCTTGGATACAATTTTTTAATTAAAAAATACAAATAAAAGTTACTATAAAAAAAGGAAATAACCGCTGTTGGTAAGGATGTGGAGAAATTAGAACCTTGTGCATTGTAATGTGTGAAATATTGCAGCTGCTATGGAAAGTGGTATGGTAGGTCCTCAAACAGTTAAACATAGAATTACTTTATAATTCAGCAATTCCACTTCTGGGTATGTTTGCAAAAGCATTGAAGGCAGACACTCAAATAGACATTTGTATACCCATATTTGTGGCATCGTTATTCACAATAGCCAAGAGGTAGCATCAACTCAAGTGCCCATCAACCGATGAAGGAATAAACACGATGCGGTGCACACCTGCATTGGAATATTTTTCAGCCTTTAAAAAAAAAGGACATTCTGATGCATTCTACAGCATGGATGAACCTAGAAGACATTATGTTAAGTGAAATGAGCCAGTCACAAAAGGACGAATATCATATGATTTCATTTGTGTGATGTACTTAGAAATAATTAAATTCATAAAGACAGAAATTAGAGGTGGTTACCAGGGCCAGGAAGGAGGGGATCCATGAGGAGTTATTGTTTTAATTTAGAAAGATGAACTATTTTTTTTCACAAATTGATTTTTCAAACTGCTTGAGCCATAGGATGACCACATTAACAATTTTAAATTTATAAAGGGGACAGTGGTGACGGCTGCATAGCAGTGTCAGTGTACTTGATGCCACTGAACCGTACACTTACAAATGGTTAAAATGGTAAATTTTATGTTATATGTATTTTACCACAATAAAAGAAAATGAAATAAATGTACATGAAACAATGGTACAGCCTATAATTTGCATCATTTTAGATGTGAAAAAACAGTGATTCCAGAGGGGGAAGGGAGTAAAAACCTTTGAGAATCTGAGAGGGGCTGGGATTCAGCTCAGGAGTGTAGGACCCTGCTATTGAAAGAAGAATAAAGGGTCTGGCACTGGCAGAGGAGGTCAGAAGCCCCAGGGGCAGGCAGGTTCAGAGATTTATGTATATGAAAATAAGGGAATTTCCTTTCTGGATGGTGCCTCACTTCCAACTGATGTTGAAGTGAAGTCATCAGGTGAGAGAGAAGTGTGGGGAGGGAGAAGTGGGAGATGAAATAGTTATCTTGAAGAGCCAGAAGTGAGCCCCGAAGGAAAACACAATAGGCTTGCCAGCAGTCCTCACTGCCCACTTGAGAACGTGACTGAAAGTGCTGTCAGTCTGTGTGGTTGGATTATTTATTCCAGCAGTGCTCACCTGTTCAGTTGCAATAAGGAGACACCTGGCTGGGCTATCCCAGTGTCATGGTTGTGCATGTGTAGAACAATGCTGAGGAGCAGCCAGGGAAGGAAATTGAGCATCATTTGCAAAAAGTAAAAATCAAAAGTGATTTAAGTAATCTACTCTGGGTTTTCTCATTTGCGAAATGGGAATAACAATAGACTGCCTCTGATAAAGTTGCAGTATGTTAAATGCAAAGCACGTACAACACTTGGAACAGCATGCCTGGCACTCAGCAAGTACTAGGTAAACATTGGTGGTTGTTACTATCACATCACTGTGAATTATAAAGTCTCAACTAGACAATACAGGAAGTGAAAACAGATGGGAACTGATGAACAATAAGAAAGTCATGTGTCAGTGGCTTAGAGGTTTTGTGAGAACAAAAATTGTTATACTTAGGACTCTAGAGCAAAAAGCCAGAGCTAAAACTTTGAATGAGTGGAGGGTTGGACAAGGGATTGGTGGGCACAGCAATGAGGGGAGAGAGTGGGTGATGTGACCTGACAGTGCGGTATTTGCAGAAGGATGGGTCGTTATGACTGAAAACCGTCAATGTAGAACAAGCAGGTGTCACTTTTCTTTCTGGCCCTGAGGAACGTGGCATGAGAAAGGAATGACGAACAGCTTGATTCTATTTGAAGAGAAGCAGTTTCCTCAGAGGACAGCTCAGTTTCAATAAAAACACAGATGTGAAAGGAACAATCAAAGACTGAGAATTTAAGAAGCTCACTGATTACAGATTTAGAGGCCAAAGGAGAGAGGGTGGTAGAGTTTTCTTTTTTTTTATTATTACTACTATATTTTGCTCAAGTATAGTTGCTCAAGTGTAGAGTTTTCTCTTCATGAGTTGAGATCAGAAGCTGTACAAAGGAGAACAAGGCAAGATGAATGAGAAGAGGAAGATCTCTTGTTTTGACCACTGTAAATGGGAATGGGACTGAGATACTTACTTTTGACCTCTAGACAGGCCTAAACACACCTGATGAAATACTCAGGAGTCTAGGGACTGCCCATTGGGCTCAGAATAATTATCAGTTCAGTCATGCACTACTTAGGCCATATATGTTTTGCCTTTTACATCATTTTTAACTCTGCATGTATTTATGTTTGGTCTTCTCCTTGAATAGTTACATAAGAAATGCTTTCCTTTTAAAGTTATTACACTTCATTAACCAAATTACAGTATCTCGCAAAATGTGGATGCTCAATATTTTTTCATACATTGATTTTTTTAAATTACCTGAGTCACAAAAGAAACTACATTATCCATTTTAAATGTATACTTAGCTGTGCATATTTGCATAATAATTTTAGGGCAAGAGCTTAATATTCTCCATTCTTGATCTTGGTATGAAAATATGTTATGTTCTAGAAGGAGTCTGAGATAGAAGAAAATCCCCGTATCAGACTACAGCTTAAGTCGAAATGAAATATGAAGTGTGTTGTGGTTTCTGCTGTGTAGAGTTGTCTCTTCTTCTTGCCCATTTTGAATATTTTCCATAGTCCAAAGAAGTTGGCAGGTCTGAGCAAAACCAAGATTACTTGAGGATTGTTTTCTTCCCTGCCAAATAGTTCCTATCACACTTTTTAGCAACTAAGGTACTGCAAACAATTTTTTGTAAATATCTTTGCCATGGGGTTCTCCATAAATCAAACATTTTTGGGGGGAAGCGAAAAGAGGTAAGAAAGAAGGAGAGTATGGCAGGATGAGAAAACCACCTGCTCATCACAGGAAAGCCACCTGTTTGCTCACAGGATTGAACTTGATACCCAGATCAGAGACAACTTATTTATGGTATTGACTATTTTCCTAATATCCCAAGTAACTTCACATCTCAACTTTAGCCTGTGGGTTACTTCTACTCCAACCCTTTGGAACTCTATTCCCTTAACTTCTCCTCACAAGGAACCTACACATTGAATGAGCACAGCACGCCATATGGACAAAATGAGTAAAATTCTTGATATGAATAGTCTCAGAATTAATAATTATATGTCAAAATACTCTGTTCCCATAGCCATTGACAAGACAAATACTAAGGGTCTTTTACAAACATATTTTATCATTTAAAAAAATATCTGAAAATCTGGAGAATGTTTGATATTTGTCTTTTTTTCTTTAATTTTAAAATAGTACATATCAACATCTTATGAGTGACATGTTATTTTTCCCTCTCTCAAAAGAACTTGAACATAATATCCATAATCATAATTATTGCCTTCACTTTTTAAGAGCACTCTCTTATTTATTGCTTGTAAAATGTTATCTAAATACAGTATAGATCCCTATCTTAGGGGGTATAAAATGTATTATTTGATGGAGCAGTTATGTTTCTATTTCTTGAGTATAATAAAAAAGCACCATATCAACTACAAGATACCTTATCTTTAAAAAAAAACCACAAAAGTAATCTGCAAATAACTGAAGTACTGTTTTTAAAAAAATGTATCTTAACCTAGGACTGGCAAAAATCATTATGTTAAGTCAAATCATAGTGAACTTTTACCATAGACCTCATTTCATAAATACAGTAGTTTAAGAAAACAAATTATGTAATTTTAATCCTTTTAAGTCTTATGAAATTATTACCTGAGAACTTTATTTTAAAGTAATAGCAAACCAAGCAGTTTATATACATGTCTTATAGATAAATAATCCAAATTTTCTGCTAAGAAGATAAGGAATAAATACTTCCCTTTCCCTATGCTGCCAGTTTTGCTGCCCCTTAGAATCTAAAATCTGTATTAAAGCCTTACTGCAAAATGGCAATCAACCAGCTGTGATCCTGTGGGCTTGATTCTAAAGCACCTAAATGAAGTGCCATGAGCATTTGATCCTTCTTATTTTACTTAGTGAGTATTTAAATGGATTTTTAAGCTGCTGAATGGCTTTGAAAGCACTGAGGTTCTTTATTTTCAAAAGAAAAATGTTCTTCCCTCACCTTAACAGACATTCACACAATTAAAAAGCAAACAAAGCCATCAAGATGAGCATTCAGAAGCAAAGGGGAACATTATTACAAAGTCACTATTTATTAAAATAGGCAATTATATTTCAGACTGACTTTATTTCTGGAAGCCCTGCTAACATATTATGCACAAGACTATAAAAGAAAGAATTGTGGGATATTCAAGAAGAAAATGCTGGTTACCTTATTTTCTTTCAACAAAGCACATATATGTAGAATAATTCACTTGATCCACCAGCTCTATGGGACAGGTATTGTTGATCCCACTGTGCAGTTGAGAAAACTGTAGGGCAAAGAGTTGCAGTCCCTTCTCCAAAGCCCCACGGCTGGTAAGCGGCAGAGCTAGATCACCAGTTTAGCCCTCCTGACCTCTGATGTCCTTGTTTGTCACTATGCTGAATCCCTCTCTATACAACATACAAATATAGATGTAGTGTCAGAACCTGGAGCTGTGATAAACAGAGAGCCCAGTAAGCCAAAGGGTAAGGATGAGAATTTTATTGCCTAAGTGCTGGATTCTGAGGCTCCTGACAGTTGTTTTGTGTGTTACACCAGGGTTCTTTCTCAGGCCTGTCAACATGAACGCTATCTGAAGTCAGCAGCTCAACACTGCTCAGAGTATCTGCCCTCTATCTCCACGTCTGTTTCCGGGACTTTTTGTTTGACAAATTTACGTGGAGGTGACCTCAGCCAGAAACACAACAGGCGTTATTCAATGATAGGAAACAATATTTAATGGGGTTGTTCCACTCCCCTTAACAGTGGCCCTGGTCCACACAGGCTGTATCTATCTCCTCAGCACTTTCCAGGGAAGCAAACCTCTCACTCATATAAATGTTCTTAATTATTTATGTACTTATTTTTCTTATCATGTCTATAAATGTGACTTATGATTTTAAAAAAATGCATTGGACACAATCCTTACCATTAGTAGAATTCAAAATCTGTCTTCTTATATATTGCTGCGTTACACACTAGCACAGGGCTTAGTGGTAAAACAATCACTGCCACCATTTTATCAAATATCACTATTTAGGGCAGAAATTTGATTTGGCCTGGCTAGGTAGTTTGGCATTACATGACATTGACTGAGTATACATACCCAGTTACAGTATGGTCTAGTGTGCAGAATGCACGGTGGCTTTACTGAAATGCTTGGCGTCTTGCTGGAGACAAGTGGGAACATGAGCTCAGCTGGGTTCCTCTCTTTTTCCATGTGGCCTCAGAATCTTTTTACCTACATTCTCTAGCCAGGGGCTCAAACTTCTTAAAGGGAAGTTAAAGGTTCCAAGAGGAATGTTCTGAGGTCCCCAGATGGGAAACTGAAAGCCTTGTCTATCTCTTTTGCAACACTTTTCATAATTGTAATCAAAATGAGTGTTGATTCAGCGTTGTATGTGTGTGTAATGTCTGCTCTCCTGCTGTATCGTAAGGTCCCTGGAATCAGGATCGTGTTTGACTTGATTCTGCTGTGTCCCAAGTACTTATCAAAGTACCTGGTACACAGTAATAATAAATATCTCATGAATAAATGAATGAATGGATGAATGAAGAATAAATTCAATATATATGTGCTAGCAAGAGTTGTAAACAACTATTGATTGCCTTTTGAATGGGGTCACTTTTGAGATAGTATGAACCACCAATCACATTTTTTCAAGATAGAAATATTAACCTTTATTAAAGGCAGGTTTGTTACAAAGGTCAAATCATTTATAAATATATAACATAACCATAAATCTTAAAGATAAATATTACTACCTCCATCTTATAGATAAAGAAACCATGATTCAGGAAGGTTTGTTTAAATATAGATAAATAGAGCTATTCAAAATAAAAGAGCCTAGACTTTTACCTGGATATAAGATAATAGGTGTGCATTAGAGGTGGGGTTTAACATTATACAGTCCAAGTCAAGTGCAAACCCTAGAGGCTTTACTTTCTATACCTCCAACAGCAATCTGCCAAGAACCCAGCCCACAGATTCTAGAAGCTTTTGAATGTCCTTGGTCTTGAAAACATAATAGATAGTCTATCTGGGGCAGTTAGAAGAGTCCTAGCAAAGTCTCAGGGCATAGGAAGGTATCCATCTGTTAAACATTCCCTAAGGCACATTTCAGCAGAAGACCCATATGTAAAGAGAAAACAGGAGGAGCTCAGAAGCCCATATGACTTATTCTTATCTCCCAAGTTGGTTATAATACGTCGATAGGTAGTGGCTGATCTTCTCCAAGTTTGCTGGTACAGCAACTCACAGTGCCCAGCAGTACTGCCGCTAATTTTACTTTTTTCAACCTGGTCCACTGCTCTGACATTCTCTAGCATCATGTCTCAGGCCTGCTGCCCACTCCAATCCCTGCTTCCTGGATGAGGTCACCATCTTCCAGGAGTAAGAAGTGAGGTGGTTACATTTTCTTTCTCATCTCCTTCTGATGAGGCAAAATATATGTTCTTTCCTTAGGCCATCTCTTTTGATTCTCAAAAGCCTATTTTAAACATAAAGGAATATTAGCATTTCTTCATCTTTTGATTCCTACTAAAATAATACCACTTTACTGCTAAGTGGTGTAGGTATTTTTGATTGAATAAGGGAAAAGTTTTACATAAGCAAAGGAGGAAAAGTGAATAATTACTAATCCAAGATATTATCTGGTCCTATGTATACCATCCCTGCCACAGTTTGACAAGTATAAGCTCTGAATGTTATTTTATAAACCCTGACTGACACTGCTTATTTTATTAGTCTACCTTGAATTGCTAAATTTTAACTTAATAAAACCACAGTTGTTTTCCTTTCATCACAAAATTCCAGGCTACCTCCTTTTTTTTTTTTTGTACAAATATTGGAGCTTGTTTGGAACTGTAAATGCTAATAAAAGGCAGTTCAGTTGACTATAACTTAGAGGAGAATGTATCAATTTCCCTTATTCTTTTCCTTATCTATCCTGTTTTCTGTTTTATCCTAGAAAAATTCACATCTAAAGACATTAGGTGGGCAGAGCAAGACAGATGTCTAAGCTGGTGATAGGGGAAGTATACTGGAGAGAACTACATTGGCCTAGAATGGGGTGTCAGAGCCCAGAGATGTAAAGGAGTCTTCCACATGTGAGGAATGCTTGATGTTGTGTGTGAGACTGAGCAGAGGAAGTAGGATATTCATCTCGATTTTTTTGAAATGTAACCTTCTCATTAGCAAACATACAGAAAAAATATTTTAAAGTATTTACTGAAAGTTGTAACATTATATATGGGGCAGCACCAACAATTGGGATGACCTGAAACTGTAAAACTCTTAGAAGAAAACTGAGGGAATAAGCTTCTTGACAATGGTATTAGCAAAGATTTTTTTGGAAATGTTACCAAAAGCACAGGCAATGAGAGCAAAAATTAACAAGTGGTTCTATATAAAACTGAAAAGCTTCTGTACAGTAAAAAAAATAATTAACAAAATGAAGACAATCTATAGAAAGGGAAAAGAATTTGCAAACCATGTATCTAATAGTAGATTAATATACAATATATAGAAAGAACTCAAATAATTTCATAGCAGAAAAGTAAATAACCCAATTTAAAAATGGGCAAAGGAATGAAATAGGCATTTCTCAAAGGGATACTTACAAAGCTATATGAAAAGATGCTCAACACTACTAATCACAAGGGAAACCAAAACCACAATGAGATACCCACCTCACATCTGTTCAAATGGCTATTATTCAAAAGCAAAAAGTAACCAGTATTGGTGCTAATGTGGAAAAAAGGGAGGCCTTTTAAAGCTAACACTGCTGAAGGGAATGTAGATTCGTATAGCCATTATTGAAAACAAGGTGGAGTTTCCTCAAAAAATTAAAAAATATGACTATCTTATGGTCCATCAGTGCCACTTCTGCAGATATATCCAAAAGAAATGAAATCAGTATCTCAAAGTATCTTCACTAGTGTATTCACTGCGGCATTATATACAGTAGCTGAGATTTGAAAGTTAAGTGTCCATCCATGGATACCTAGATAAAAAAAATGAGATGCTAGGTGAATAAGCTAGACACAGAAAGACAAATATTGTGTAATATCACTTATATGTAAAATCTGAAAAAGGTGACCTTAGATAAACAGAGAATGAAACAGAAGTTACCAGGGGCTGGAGAATGGGGGAAACTGGGGAAATGTTGGTCAAGGGGCACAGATTCTCATCTATAAAGTGAGTAAGTCCTAGAGATTGAATGTACAGTATAACTATAGTTAATAATAATGTAGTGTATACTGAAATTTGCAAAGAGAGCAGATCTGAAGTGTTCTCACCACACACACAAAATTATTACTATGTGAAATGATGGATATGTTAATTAGCTTGGTGGTAGAAATCATTATACCAGGTATGCTACACCAAAACACCAAGTTGTACACCTTAAATATATACAATTTTTGTCTGTCATACTTCAATAGAGCTGAGAAAGAAAGAATTAAAAATGAAACCCTCCCCAAACCTTCAGGTCTCAGAGACATACAATTCTAATGGTAGATTGGACAGGCTCTTGGTCTAAAGAGGACTCCTAATGTTAAAACAAGCTGAAATAATTTAACTTTCATTAATGTAATTTTTTTTCATTCAAAAAGTTGATATGGTATATTTTTATTAAGTGACCACAATATACCAAACACTGGTCTAGGTCCTGGAAATCCAATTGAAAACTGACAAAGTCTTTGCCCCCCAGAGATTAGAAACTAGTGAGGGGAGATAGAGAGTAAACAAGCAGACAAGTAATAATAATTACTTTTAAAAATTCATGTGTTACATATTATGAAGTGCTAAGGAGATAAAACCAGGTCATGTCTTATAAAAAACAACTGGCAGACCCTGCTTATTGTTTCCCAGGCACTGTTCTCAGCACTTCACATGCACATTTGACCTAGAACCTGAATTATGTGAAGGAGAAAGTCAAAGCAAGATTTTAGGCTCAGGCAGAAGCTCAGACAGAGTAAAAGGGAGGAAGGAGCTTAGCCTGTTTAAGGAATTGAAGAGGAGGGAGGGAGGGGTTGGGTCGGGTGTGCAGTGAGGAATCTGCATCGTGATCTCAGTGCAATGGGAAGCAGCTGCAGAATTTTAAGCAAAGGAGTGATATGGTTGGATTTACATTTCAAAAAAAAAGCAATCTGGGCTGTTGGAAAGAATGCAATAAAGGAAATAGGTAAGAGTGAAGTCAGAGTAATGAGTCTGGACACTTTTATTTTGATGAAACAGTAGATGATAGCTGCTTGGAACAGGATGGCTGTGGTGGAATTTCAGTCTGACCGATTTATTTCTCTTTTGAACCCCTGTAAAATTTTGTTTATAGCCTTGTTTGTGTCGTAGTAATCCTGTACTTTAGACTCTTTTGGTAGC